CTTTTATGATAGTTTTCATCTAAATGATTGATTATTATATCTCTAACAAGACTTTTTCTCTTAGCAACTTTTAGTTCGGAGAGATTTTCTGGACTTTCAATGTTTGAATCTATTACATCTAACAACTCGTTATTCATTAACTCAGATTTTAAATAATCCATCCAAAGATCAAAGTTGGTTTTTTGCGTCAGCTTATATTCTCTTCTAATATGCAACCTTTGACTATTCAATTCCAATTCTATAGCTCTTTTCATTGTCTCTAAACTCCTATCTTTTTCGGCTGAACAGACTGTTATTTCATTTAATTTTCTCTTTTTAGACTCTACCTCTAGTTCTTTAACCGTTTGTTTACTGTTTTCTACTGAACTTTGGGTATCTTTATTGCTTACCTCTAAACGTCTAAGTTTAACTTTTTCTTTCTCTAAGTTTAAACGGGAGACTTCCACCATATTCTCCATCATCTCGGTGGCCTTCGTCATTACTTTATCCAGCACCTGCATCGAATTGTCCATTTTTTTCGACCAATTTTTCTTGCTTTTCATATAATATTTTGGTTCCAATTGGCAGTACTGGACGGTTCTCTTCCCATGCTTTGGTCACATCTATATTCTCTCTGACTTTAGGCAAGTTCTTTTTCGGGATTGCACCTCTTCTTTCCATCTCCTTTTTATCTTTTGCTTCTATACGGAATTTTGAAATTACTATTTTTATTTTCTCTGAATGCATATATATATTATTCTTCTGGACTACTTTATTTTCAAAAAAATACTCTCTTACCTCTATCTTTTCTTACTGTCTCCTCGTTTTTATCTTTTGCTTCTCTATCTATTACCGTGATAAAGCTGCTATCGCTGTCGTAGTCGACCAGCGCATCTTGGCCTTCTTCTTCTTCCATCTATATTGGGATTTAAATATCAACTGAACATTAGCATTCCTCTTTTGACAAGATAAACCAACATTCGTATTGACAAATAATAATTTACAATTTCTATCACTAGATCTCTTTCAGCGATAAAAATTTAATGCTTATGAGGCTATATAGAACGCACTGCAATTCACAATAACCCCAAAGCGAGAAAACCACGCGCCTCTGCAGGGCTATCCGCACGCGCACACCACTGTCCGTTGCGATCCCCAGCACTGCTGAAAAGATCTATGGGAGCTCGGGTTGATCACGCACACGCACGGGGCCCATACAAATTTACGCGGCTTCCCTAAACAGTAATCAAGCTACACCGCACAGCAAGTCATGCTCAATTACCGACCCGATACATATCGATTTCAAAAAAAATAAACTCATATAGAGTCATATAGAGTTTTTATACATACGCATACATTTACATGTATCGCAATCTAGCCATCTAGCATACGCATACATTTACATGTATCGTAATCTAGCCATCTAGCATCGATGCCATGTTGTTAGTCGAAATCGATTATGTGTTTGTGCGCGCCCAGCAACAAGTTCTGCGCGCCAAAAACAATGACTCTCGCCGTCTACGATCGGACTTCCGCGCGCCAAAAATTCCGCGCGCCAAAAGAAATGACTCTCGCCGTTCACGATCGGACTTGCACGCGCACGTCGCCGACTTGCTACCAAGCGGCATTATTCTATCTCTTTTTCCTTCATTATTCTCTACTTCTTTATTACACTTTACACATCTATTCTCTAATTCTCTTATTACCATTTGCACGGGGGGGTATGAGGCGCTCCCCGGATTTGCGATTGGTCAACAAAATTTCTCGAAGGACCAGAGGGCCCGTGCCCTCGCGAAAGCGAATAAAGCGAAGCAAGCAAGCGAATATCAAAAGAGATGCGTGGCGACTCACCGTGTCGTTGCCCGGCGCCTCCTGGGTGTTGACGTCGTCCTCCCGTCGGCGAGATCTCTGGCGTGCAAGGCGAAAGCATGCAACAGTCCGGCATAGCAAGCGGGCAGGCAGGTATAGCAAGCAGGCACAGATAGGCAGGATAGCAAGCGATTAGGTCTTCGTGGTCTGCGATGGGCGACCGAGCACTCCGAGTTCGCGCACGCGAAAACGGTAACGTGTGAGCTTCACGACGTTCGACTGATGAGTCCCTGCCGTAAGACGGCTGGCCAAAAAATGTGTTTGCCGTAAGACGGCTGTCTTGCGAATATGTGTGTGTGTGCCGCACGGCGGCTTGACGAAAAGTTCTGCGGAAAGGTGTGTCCTCTCCGACTGTTTGACGCTGAGTCCCTCTCTTCCGTACTCCGGCTCGCGCACCTGCGAAGTACGGCGCGAGCGAGTACCGAATTCCTCTCATAATGGGGGATGCCACCCGCGGGCGGGCAGCACGAGTCGGGTGAGTCGCGCGAATATCGACAAGTGTACTAATCGCGATCCACCGACGTTTCGCTAATAGGCGCGATAATTTAACCCGGTATAACTAATCAATACAAGAACCGTACAATTAACAATGTGAAGCGACAACACGAAATCGATCCTATAATTAGCTACTATTTACACTATGATACACGGCGGTGCGCCAAACACCATTATTACCTCTATTTTTATTTCTCGAGAAAAATGGCAAAAACATCTATCTCCTTGTAACAGTATTTATCGAACGAACATTCTTATTAACTGAGAATTCTCTCGTTTTGCTCGTCAGCAACGAGGAATATTATTTACTTACCCTCTAATCTTCTAGATGCTTCTATCTCTTTCTATGCCCTTCGCCGGCGTCTCACACACTTCGTATATACACTTTCGTGCTATGTTCCTCACGCAGG